GACCCGTGGATTCGATATTTATCACTTGAGCCACTATACTGCAGTCCCTTTCATTGGTTACACTTGGCCTTTGTTAGGAGTTGTGTTTTAGAGCAGTCAAGTTTTTGGCGCCGTTGCCGGGGACTTTCTAGAGTATTAGGAAAGGCAGAAGTTTGTTACTTTAGCGTTTTTCTTTTCTTTTCTTTTCCACCCTTGCTTTTCACTTGGGTGTTTTTGTTTTTGTTGGTGCAGATCTGAATCATGGATCCTAATGGCTTCTCCAATCATTGGGGGTATCCACCACCATCTGGGTGGTATTACCCCGAGACTCCCTGGAGCAATCAAGGCAGAGAAGACTATGGATTCGGGTTCCAGTACCAACCCCCTTACTACGGAGAACAACCGGACCCCTGGGCATATCAAGAACAACCTCATTATCAAGAAGAATTTCTCCCACAACCAGAAGGGCCATCGGCGCTGGAGTTACTCATGGAGCAGTATGCTCGAGACTGTGAGAGAACATGCTCCAGGATGGATCAGTGTGTCCAGGCCTATCGTGAAACAGATGAGATCCTCCTGAGCCTTAAGAAGAGCGTCGATGATCTTGAGCGATCTTGGGCGCAACCTGCTCCAGATCACCCTTCTGCTACCATACAAGAAGAGGAAGAGGAAGAAGAAGGCTACAAGGGCATTGTGGAACACACTGAAGTCGTCACGGAGAGCTCCCGTGATGATCATGATCAGGCCTGTCATGTCGTAGCCGACCACACCTTCCCACACCCCAAACTGAGCTTTGAAGAGGCGGGCATGAGTGAGGAGATGCAAGAAGATCTCATGAAAGAAATTGCTTGGCAACTTGCTCTCCAATCCGTGCTAGAAGAAGAAGAGCAAGAAAGGGTGCAGAAAGAAGTTGTGGAGGATGACGAAAGTGAAGCTAGAGGAGTTCTTGATCATTTCCCAGGGGTGATACCACACGAACAAGTAAGGGAGGTTGAAGAAGCAATTGGCGTCCAGGCTGAGGACGGAGTTAAGGTGGAAGAGGCCTGCACCGGCCATGAGTTACATGTGATATCTCCACCAAACTTTGAGGAACTGCTTGGCAAGGACCCATTTGCAGTGTCTCTTTGCCAGACCAAGGCCACATCGACATCGGTTCCTCTTGGTGGACGCGATGGTGGCCAATCGATGTTGTCATATCTGGTTTGGGGCAATGAGACGAGAGAAGAGAAGAAGAGGTCTCGAGGGTGGAGACTTCATCTGCATCAAGTACATGAGCCTTCATCACCTGCCACACCACATGCTCGTGACTTGAGACTCCACCTCATCGACGAGAACCTCAACTTCAAGGAGGTTCTAGCATGGACCGAAACTTAGGAGCCATCGTCCGGCTCACGACGTGAAAGAAGCGCTTGTTGGGAGGCAACCCAACCAGTCGGTTTGCATTTCTTTCTCTATTTCTCCTCGGTTGAGTCAGTTTTGTTATTTGATTTTAGAGTCAATAACTCAACCTTTGTGAGATTTTGTGTGGTGTTTGTGTTCTGATTACTCTCTCTTCCTGGGGGATAGCCTAAGGATAGCCTAACCCACTCCTCATATTGCTGGTGAAATTGACGCATCAGGGCTGGGATCCCAAACTGCTTGCCCTCGAAGACAACCCAGTTCCGAGATCGCCAAATCCTCCACAGAACGGCCACCACCGCCATGAACAATGCCGGGTTATGTAAGATAATCCAGACCCGAATAATCCCAGAGGGAACGGGCCACTGGACATTCCAGAAAGAGGTGCTCCAAAGTCTCAGTACCCTCCCAGCAGACCGGACATCTGGGGTGGACTGCAACCTTCTTCTCAATGAGGGCCTCTATTGTTGGGAGGGCACGGTTGAGGATCTGCCAAACAAAGACCTTTAACTTAGGGGGAATATCCGCATTCCACAATCGAACCTAGCTAGGCTTGTCCATCCAACCAATCACCGATTTCCATCTACCCACCCTCCTATCCAAGGCGACAACCAGATGATAAGCAGATTTGAAGGAGAAAACCCCATCGATAGTATCATGCCAGATCAATCTGCCTTCCACATCCCTGCACGACAATGGGATTGCTTTAATGGCCTGACAGGGCGGCGGATCAAACCACTGGTGGAGCTTAAGGTCACACCATTTTCCTTCACCAGGACACAAAATCTCCTCTACCAGCGGGTCTCCCCCCTCCGGTAACACCTGTGGATTATACCTAGGTGGGTCAAGCTAGAGCCGGGGTATCCAGTTAGAGTGGAGCAGGGAGGCGGATCGACTATTACCAATCTGCCATCTTAATCCCTTCTCTAGCAATTGTCTACCAAAGAGAATGCTTTGCCACCCCCACGAAGGGCGGGACCGAGCCGTGGCTTGAAGGAACGTCCCTCTGGGGAAATATTTCCCTTTGTAAACCTGGGCAATTAGGGATTGAGGTTCCGTTAGAATACGCCACCCAATTTTAGCCAGTAGAGCCTGGTTAAAATGCTCAAAACGCCTAAACCCCATACCCCCGTCATGCTTGCTCCTACACATATTACGCCAGGAAACCCAGCGAATCTTCGATTGATCCTCCACGTTCCCCCATCAGAAGCGGGCCACATGTTTGTCCAACAGTCGACACAGGGAGAGAGGCAACTTGAAGCAGGACATAACATGCGATGGTAGCGCCAAAGCGATTGATTTAATCAACGTTTCTTTAGCAGCCCATGACAAAGTCCTTTGTTTCCACCCCTGTAATCGCTCCAAAAGCTTCTCCTCCAAATACCGAAAGGTAGCCATTTTAGATCTGACAATTAGCATAGGCAAACCCAGATATTTATCATGTACACCTACCGCTCCAACCCCCAAAATAGTAGCCAAGAATTTCTGGTCAGGCAAGGCAATATTATTGCTTAAGCAGACTACCAATTTAGCCAAATTAACCCGTTGACCACTAAGGTCCTCAAACTCATTTAAGATCTCAATCAGATTCTCGCATTCCTGGAGAGTACCGCGCAGGAATAAATAAGAATCATCAGCAAAGAACAAATGCGAGATCTTGGGAGCCCGCGGAGCCACTTTTACCCCATCCAGCTTCTTCTCAGAGATAGCCTTGCGCAGGAGTGCCGCGAACCTCTCCGTCCATAACACAAACAGGAGGGGTGAAAGCGGATCCCCTTGTCGAAGACCTCTCGATGAAGTGAAATACCCCGAAGGCGTACCATTCATAAGAACCGAGAAGGATGCTAACCGCAGGCATTCATGTATCCACCCCTGCCAGACCGAGCTGAACCCCATCTTATCTAAAACCGCAAGAAGAAAGGACCATTCAACTCTATCATAGGCCTTTTCCATGTCAACCTTTAAAGCCATGTATCCTTTCTTTCCTCACATTTTTATTTTGACATAGTGCATGAGTTCGTGCCCAAGGAGGATATAATCAATTATCTGCCTTTCCCTGATGAACGCATTTTGGCCGTCAGAAATAATTTGTGGGAGGAGGACAGCAAGTCTCTCAGCCATTATCTTTGTGATAATTTTGTAAACAAATTGACAAAGGCTAATTGGGCGTAACTGCTGCATCATCTCCACATTATCCACCTTCGGGATCAACGTTAACCAAGTATGGTTAAAGCTACGCAGCAACCGTCCCGACGCAAAGAAAGAGCAGACTGCCTCAATGACCGAAGCACCGACAATATCCCAGAAGGCCTTAAAGAACTTTCCGGTGAACCCATCAGAACCAGGTGCCTGCTTCGATCCCATGGAGAAGACAGTCTTACGAACCTCCTCCGGTAAGACCTCAGCGGTCAAAGCGTCATTCATCTCTAGGGTCACACTGCGATTAATGGGGAGGGTAGCAACCCTTTCCACCATATTTGGGATTTGGGATTGTGAGGTAAAAAGGCCCTGATAAAAACCAGTGGCAATGGCCTTAAAGAACTTTCCGGTGAACCCATCAGAACCAGGTGCCTGCTTCGATCCCATGGAGAAGACAGTCTTACGAACCTCCTCCGGCAAGACCTCAGCGGTCAAAGCGTCATTCATCTCTGGGGTCACACTGCGATTAATGGGGAGGGTAGCAACCCTTTCCACCATATTTGGGATTTGGGATTGCGAGGTAAAAAGGCCCTGATAAAAACCAGTGGCAATGGCAGATTTCCCAGTTTCCTCCGTGACCCAGCCTCCACTCTCATCACGAAGGTCGGCAACAAAATTCCGTTTCCGGCGGACCCGAGTCACCGTATGAAAATAGGATGAATTTTTGTCCCCTTTCTTGAGCCACTAGACCCGTGATTTCTGTTTCCAGTACACCTTCTCCGCTTCCCATTGACGATTAAGTTCGATCTCCAGACCTCTAATGGCATCCCAATCAATAGGATGGGTTAGCTTAATCCGCTCAATCTATGACTGGAGAGTTTTAATATTGCGCAAGGAGTTTGTAGTGCCTACCCTACTCCAATCATACAATAAATGTCGGAGCTTCTTAAGGCGTTCCCAAAGTCGAAACATAGGGGTGCCTTGGATCTACTCTTTCCAGACGTAGTTAACCATAGCTCTAACCTCGGGATTATCAGCCCAGCGGGCGTCAAATCGAAAAAAGGGGTCGGCTATGACGAGCATACACCTTGTTAGAAAGGAGTAGGGCACGGTGGTCCGACCCCTGATCCGTAAAATGTTTGACCAGAGTCTCCGGGAATCGATCAATCCAGGATTGAGAGCAAAGGGCCCTATCCAACCTCTCCCGAATACAAGCCTCACCCATTCTTCTATTTGTCCAAGTGAACATGTCACCCTGGTACCCGGGATCATGGAGACCCAGCTCCAGGATAAAATTTCGCATACTAAGCGCTTGGGAGGCATTCCACACCAACCCACCATCCTTCTCACTCTCATGAAGAGTAGTATTGAAATCACCAATGACCACAAAGGGGTGGTGGAAATGTTCACAGATCTCACGCAATTGTGCCAGTTGGGATTCACAAATTGTCGCATTACAACTAATATAAACAAAAATCACAACATACGAAAAATCAACTTCATTAATTTGAATGCAAATACAGAAGCTAGAATGAAAAAACACCGAAGCGTCAACTCCGGGGGACCAAGCTGCTACTAAACCACCAAATGCATCAATCGCATCAACAAAGAAACAATGGGAATGCTGAAAACCTAACCCCCGCATAAGGCGGGTCACTACTCTCCGGCACAAACGTGTCTCCGAGAAGAACACAAGGTCCGATTTATTGGACTGGATCAAACCTACAGCAGTTTGGAATGTGAGGGATGGTCCAATTCCCCTCACATTCCAGGCCAGAAGCCTCATTTATCACCCTGGGGCCATTCCAGGCTGGCTACCTCCACCTTCTCTTTACTATCATTCATCTCCACAAATTTCTTTTTCGGAGTAGGAGGATTTCCTCCACCCCCATCCATCATTCCCAGCGGTCTTTTCCGGTTCCCAAAGTTAGGGTCCAACAAGTTCGACCCATACTCGTTCAGCACGGCCGAGGCCTCCCCGCACAGCTTCTGATTATCACCTGTAGGCACAGTAGTGGGCGACACCAATGCCCTATGAACTGGAGCATCTCCCCCAACAGGCTCAACAGCCATCCCTCCCTCAAACGCCGCGACTATTTTACCCACCCGCCCTACTCAAACCTACTAATAAAAGTTCATAATTGAAGAATCCCACTTGGAAGCTTATGTAATTTAGTAACCCTTGTGATGATGACATCTCGAGCAATAACTGTGTCCTAGCAAGTAGTCTGAATGCTTATGCTTCCTTGCAGCTCCTAAGTCCGGGTATGAGATCATTCCTAATCGTATTCCCTAGGGTCTCTAACAACCACTTGCTCAAGTGGTTAGGAACGAGTTCTATGATGAAAGATAACATATGTTGGAGGTTGACGTGCCTCCGGTTTTGAAAACGCAAAAGTGGAATGAAAGGAAACCTATACTACTTTGGCGAGTGAAGGACCCAAGAGAGGAAGACGTTGCACAGACAAGCTCCCCCTAGAGTTCCTAAAACTATGTTCGATATCAACAACACACGAGGGTGATTTCTTATATCATCTAATCTCACATTGTGCCAAAGCTTTTACACGGACTAGTAGGCGACAAAGAGTCTATGGATTTCTCTTTTGAGGCGTTGCTCCGTTTGATCAAAAGATGATCGATCGGATAGAACCTTCATGTCTGGTTTTATTCTATGAGACAAGGCTTCTGATACTTGCATTACAAAGGGATGCAAACTCGACTAAGTATTCATTCGAATCAACAAAAGAAAACATAGAGGAAATTAAACACAAATTATAGGAAGATAAAATTATTCGTATTGAATACCAGACATCGAGTGTACATTTCTAGAACCTCTAGGGTTTATAAACCTATACAACAAAGGGAAACTGGCCAGCCATGGGGGCATATTTCAAGGAATTCATATTTGATTGAAACAAAGTCCCCAGAGAACCACTAGAAACTGTGGTAACAATATAAAAATAGGGGTTTAAGCCATCGATTTTTCCATTGTTTCCTCTCTCTCTTAACTAGTGTCGCTCTAATTCAGGAGGGTTACTCTATCGATAGAGTAACGACTCTCTAGCTGCCTCCTATCACTGCTATCAAGTTCTAACCCCTAGAGACCTATGTATAGGTCTTTGATTAGGATTTTTGGGGGAGAATAACTCGGCCTTGATGCATCATCCAACCAATCAAAAGCTTTCCTCCGTGCAACTACTACTTCAGGATAAATTCTGGGCGCCTTCCTGACAAAGTTTGGCATCTTACCAAAATGGCAGCCACCACGTTTTGTATAATGGGTTGCAGATTTGGGCGCCATTTATGGCACTTGGCCTTCTCTTTGAAGCTTGCTCTAGCATTGAGCCTTGACGTCCCTCAATCCTCCTAAGTGGGCTTTTAGCCTGTTTGGCATGAAAATGCACAAAATGCTACCAAGATGTATAATTGTAATAAATAGACCTGCAATCGGGTCGGGTTGGGTAATTTCGGGTTGGGATCTTCGGTTATGGGTCGGTCATGTTTGGTTGGCTTATTTCGGGTCAAATATTGACCCAATCCATTCGGTTTCGGGTCGGGTTACTGGTCATTTCGGGTTATGAGCGTTCTCAGAAACAATATCACACAAGCTTCATATTTTCTTAAAGAACACAAATTTTCACATATGCATGAAAATAGTTTACCTAACACATATCAATTAATATATTCTCAAATTCTCTCACGCTAATGAAATAAAATATAAATTGACCAAATTGTCAAAAAACAAACACAAGAGTAATACTACTACAAGAAAAACATGATATTTGATTATCCTTAAACTCCAAACGTGTAATTCAAATCCTTGTGTTTTTTTAAACATCTCACCAATTTATGAGTGATTTATCATATTTTGGGAGTAATATATTAAATGGAACAGGTCTAACGGGCCGACCCGCTAACCCACCCAACCTGACCCAAAAAATCACGGGTTATCGGGTTCGGGTCATTCGGATTTTGGGTTACAAAATTTTCTAGTTTTCGGGCGGTTTCGGGTTGGGTCAACGGGTCGGGTTGTAATTTGCCATGTCTAGTAATAAAGCAGTCCTCAAACACACTTTGAGCATTCACATAGAAAATCCAAGGTATTATGAAGATAAATATGGAAAATTAATGTACTTTTGATCATTCAAACGGGGTTTAAAATAACATATTTAACGTGTCACTAAATAACCGCACACTTGACCTTTGCTTGTCTCCAAGCAAATCTAAGTTCACAAGCGTACAACTCACTAGACGTCTAAGATGACACGTGATGTTCGATCTTAGGCAGTGGATCATAAGGAGATTACAAGCCCAATGCTCGCATTAAGAGTCCTTGGACCATTGAGAAGAAGCGTGAAACATACTTCGTAAGGATGACAAATTCATCTCTCACGAGATTGAGTTCTTTTGATAGACTCTAGTCTTTCTAGGGATATAAGGCAAAGAATATGTAGCTTGGTTAAGCATTTACACGCATCCCTACCTTGCAACATTATTCTCTAAGATATTTTAATGTTCTCTCTTTTCATGTTACACCCTAGCCTTTAGCACTTTTCTGGCTCAAGTGGATTTATTTTACCTTTTGCTTTGGTACTTAGTCGCAGTGGCGGATACATGGTGCTTTAATTTAGGGGTGTCCCGGGACACCCCTAAAATTTGGTAAAACGATTATCCAACCCCAGCAGTAGTTTCGTATGGATAAACAAAATATAACCAGTAATCAGGGACACCTCTAAAATTTGAAAAAAAACGATCATCTTATCCTCGATAGTAGTTGGCGTATGATTAAAAAAAAAGTGGTAGTATGTGCTATTCAAACCTAGGACACTACTATTATTAAACATATTCTCCATTAGGTTATAACTCATGTGTTGTTCTATTTTAAACACTATGTAATAGTAAAACACGATTTCTTATACCTAGGGGTACCCCTAATTTGAAATGATTTTATGGTTACACGGAGTGTTGAAAGAGTATTTTCAACTTTGAGTTACATCATAAATAAAGTCAGAAATAGAATATGCGATCAGTTAATGAATTATTGTCTAGTAAGATATACAGATTTGTTGAGCACTGTAGACACCGAATCTATTTTATATATTTTTTTAAATATGAAAATATATGGTCGCTTTTTGTTAAAATTTATACTAATCAGAAATTTTCTGATTTATGAATTATTTAATTTAATTTTTGGAAGATGACACCCCTACAAAAAAATTCTGGAATCGCCACTGCTTAGTAGCCAGTGATGACACTTTATTTATAGTGTTTATCACTCTCATATTTGATACATTTTCCCCTTCTATGAATCTTTAATAGTTTTGATTATATTTCATATAGAATTCATAACTATTTGATATATGAACTTATGATAGACCTAGAGTATGCTTCTTTATTATTTGATGCCTTTATGGTGTTGTTTCTTCCTTTTAGAGGTTATAAACCACTCAAGACGAATATGGATCACCAAGGTCCCCAATGGATCTGAAGAAGGACAAGAATACAAGCTCATGGGTCCAAATTGAGATGGATTGTGATACTGAAATCTCAAGTTATCGACTAGAGAAAATTATTTTGAGGAGCACACGTGTCAAAGGAAGTCTGATTAAGCAGAAATTTAAGGAGCAGGTCCATGAGCCCAAAATAAAGTTCCCTACAGAAAATGGACCGACTTAGAGAAGAAATGACAGTGGCGGGTCGAACTGCTATGGCACCACAGCGCTGTCCAATACCTCCAGGAAGATTCTTCAACAAGTAGCTTCGTCCACAAACCAGATAAGGAAGGATTTAGCCGACTTTTAGGAGGAAAAAGACTAGAAAACACCCTTTTGTAACTAGTATAAATAGGAGGCTAGGCTAGAGATTTTTTAAACACTTTATGATCACTCTGCCCTAGGGGCATGACTTAGAGAGCATATGAGAGGAGGAGGAGCTTAGCGAGGATGGCTTCATCATCTACAGTGATGTCTTCCAATTCTTTTTTGTTTATCTAGCTAAATCTCTTTAGGGATGTAATCCGATAAATCTTTGTGTATTATTTCTATGATTTAATGAGATGCCTATTGTGTTTATTATTCTTATCATTGACGCTTGATGTCAATCTATGCTTGTATCATCTATTGCTCGAGTGTTCGATGCTATGATTATTAGATGATTTAGTTAATCAATGCTTATGATTTTATTGTACACGACTATATGAATTGTGCTTAGTGTTATTTGGGTTGTCAATAAATTAACATCTAGTAGTGATACTCCATTCATGCTAGGAGAGTATGGGAGGAGTAGCAAACCATCCATGCATCGACTAGTATCAATGCTTGATTCTTAGATCATCAATTATATAAACAATAGACTCGCTAAAACACAACTCCTAACAGTGGCCAAGTGTAACCAATGAAAGGGTCTGCAGTATAGTGGCACAAGTAATAAATATCGAATACATGAGGTCTCTAGATTTACTTTTACTTAGATTCAGGTTGTTATCTAGCAAATCATATTAAGTTTTGTTTAACTAAACTACTCCTACAAGCTACTCTAGGTTAGACTACTAATTATAGGTTGGGAACTGACATAGGTATGATTCCCCTTGCCACTAGCCAGATTAATGGTTGATGATCTCTAACATGTTTCACTTTCATTCACAATTAATGCGGAGAATCCTTGACCAGACCTCGAATCTCGACTAAAGAAATCAAGGTCCTCTTGAGTTAATTGCCTAAAGGGACGTATCCTTCTCTAGAACAATAGATCAAGGCATTCTGAACTAGATTCCCTCTATCGAATGAGGTTCTCAATCGATACAAAGTAGTGAATTGACCCTTGACTAAAGCAATCGATCCAATACTATCAATCTATGGTGCTCTATTGACCCAATCAGTTATTCTCTCTCATAGAATCAAAGCATAATCAATCATCTCAACTAAAGCATAATTGAATCATGAAAGTATGCATAGATTGAATGTGAACTCAAAGATTATCAAATAGGAGTAATCATACAATCTTCCAATCAAACAAACATAGCTAGGGTTCCTCATAACCTAAGTGAAGGGAAGTTACTCCATAGAGAAGAGAGCGAATGAAGATATCTTATCTAGATCTTCAATCTCCATCTACAAGCTTGATTCCCAAGCTCCAATGGTGAAGAAATCCTCCAAAATAGCTCCAAGAATGATCTCAACGTGCTCTCTCTAGGGTTCTTCCCATGGGCGTTTGGGATCCAAAACCCAACCCCCCCCCCCCCCTCCAAATATCGCAGAACAGTCGTTATACAAGAAGCTGGAATTTGCACCCCCGGTATGCACGGCCGTGCAAATCAATGCACTGCTTGTGTAAACTCCAGAACTCACCATTTCACCTGATTTGGTC